CCAACTGCAGGTCCAAGTCCTGAGCAAGCAGACCTGGGTAGAGATGGCCTTTGAAGCAACTGTCCCATCCTTCTGAAAGATAAGGTTGCTTTAATGGTTGGTGAGAGGTGAAGTATCTTTCTGAACATCCCACTGGATTCATTGCACAGTCCAATACAGCAGTGTCCCCCAACCTTTTGGGCACCAAGGACTGGTTCCTTGGAGAGAGGTTTTTCCTGTAGACCAGAGGGGGCGTGGTTTCAACATGCTGCCTGCATCCCGCAGATGGGGCTTCACTGGTTTGAGCAGACCGGTTTCTGGCATGCCATGGCCTGGTGCCAGTCCATGGCCTGGGGGTTGGGGACCCTTGCAATGCATAATAACAGAGTTGAAGGGACCTTGGAGGTCTTCTAGTCCAACCCCTGCTCAAGCAAGAGACCCTAGATCAGGGGTAGGCAACCTTGGCTCTTTTATGACTCATGGACGTCAACTCCCAGAATTCCTGAGCCAGCCATGCTGAGGGGAACGGGAGAGGTTTCCATGCTTAGCCATGCTTAGCCTACCCCTGCCCTAGATCATTTTAGACAAATGGTTGTCCAGTCCTTTCTTAAAAGCCTCCAGTGTTAGAACACCCACAACTTCTGAAGGCAAGCAGAGCCACTGATCAATTGTTCTTACTGTCAGAAAATTTCTCCTTAGTTCTAGGTTGCTTCTCTCTTTAATTCGATTCCATCCATTGCTTCTTGTCTTGTTTTCTGGAGCTCTGGAAAATATGTTGACCTCCTCATCTTTTTAGGCACCCCTCAAATATTGGAATCCTACTATCATGTCACCCCTAGTTCTTCTTTTCACTAGACTAGACATACCCAATTCCTGCAACCGTTCTTGTATGTTTTAGCCTTCAGCCCCCCCAATCCTCTTTGTCGCTCTTTTCTGCACTCTTTCCAGAGTCTTTCCAGAGTCTCAAAATCTTTTTTTATATTGTGGTGCCCAAAATTGGAAGCATTCCAAGTGTGGTCTTATAAAGAGGCAATATCACTTCTCGTGATCTTGATTCTGTCCATCTGTTAATGCAGTCCAGGACTGCATTGGCTTTTTTTGGCAGCTGCAGCATTTTGCTGGCCTCATATTTAAGTGATTATCCTCTAGGACCCCGAGATCCCTCTCGCAGTCCCTTCAGTTCCGTAAGCGAACAACGCGAAAAACCTTGAATACATTTCTGTCCACACTCATAGCCTTCTTCTCTGCGTCCTGCTCTTTTGTTCTCAGAGTGAAACAGGGAGATTTCCTCTCCTGGGGAAATCAGCTTTGGGACACTCAGGAAAGGGAGAGGGGCAGTGGCAGAAGTGACCCAAATAGCAAGAAGGTGTCAATGTGCTAAATGGGGCATGACCTGCTTGGGATCTGCTGATTTATGGCTCTGAAAAAAAAAGTTCCCATTTGCCTACATGGCTTCTCCTTCTGTTGAATAACGAGTTCAGGGTGGGGGGAGATGGTTAAAGTATCAGCTGTAAATTGGTGCAAGGCACGGAAAAGGGACATTAGCCTCTAATCAGATTCCAACAGTTCATTAAACCTGCCCGTCTGAGCACCGTCCTTTGTCTGCTCGGAGGCAGGCCCTGTTTGGGCCAGATCCAGCTTCTGCTCTCGTCTTTCTTCCCTGCGAGCAGCCCCAGGCGCCTGTCACAGCTGGAGACCCTCCCAGCAGAGCAGAGCCTTCCAGGCAGACAGCGCAGCCCCCTCCCCAATCCATCCGGCAGTTGCTTCTCCCCCTGTGCAGAAGGGCCCCCAGGCGAGATCCCTCACCTCAGGGAGATTTATGACCCCATTGGCCATTGCAAGCCTTGCAGTAGCTGGCCTTCTTGGGGCTCGTGGATGGAAAAGGAGGCCTAGCTATGCCAGGCAGAAAGAGGGAAGGAAGGGCTTTGAGCAGGGCTGACTGGAGAGACAGGCTGGCTGTGCTTTCTGTTCCACCCTGGGCGGATGGCCAAACCGCCACTGCTGGTGACACCCTTGGATATGAAAGGCAGGCCTGGTCAGCCCACACCCTCCTGGAAAGCATCTGGCCTGGCATCATTTCCCCCCTTTTATTGTTTTGAGCATTGCCTGGTTGCTAGAAAGTCCTCCCGTTCCTATGGCTCAGAAGGGGAAGGGGTGTGTCTTAGGGAATGAAAGTGAACCATCACCTCCCTTGTGAGTCTTTCTTTTAAGGGGCTTTCAGCTTCTCCCAAGAAATGGCAGCTTTTTTTTTAAATTTATGGGATTGCATGTTATCCCCCGAGTTTGGATATAATTCCCATTTGCATTCAAATAGTCCAAATCCTACACCAGGAAAAGGGGATTTTTGCACCCAGGGTAATTTGTAATGTTTGCATAATCTGTGTATCACAGAGCTCAGTTTGGGAAATGATTTTGGGCCTTTTCTGGCTCAGCAAGCAGAACAGCTTATTTGGAGGACCTATTGGGCTGAAAACACGAGGGCTAGGAACTTTGTTTTTTCCAGCACATAAAACTTAAGCTATAACAAAAAGAAAACCCAAATTCTGCGCCTGAAGCATTTTTCCATGATGACGGTTGCACAGATCTGAATTGTAGGTAATCCTCGACTTACAACAATTCATTTAGGGACTGTTCAAGGTTACAACAGCACTGAAAAAAGCGACTTATGACCGTTTTTCATACTTGCGACTATTGCGGCATCCCCATGGTCACATGATCAAAATTTTGACGCTTGGCAACTGACTCATATTCATGAGTGTTGCAGTGTCCTGAGGTCATGTGTTCACCTTTTGCGACCTTTGACTAGCAAAGTCAATGGGGAAGTCAGATGATGTGTTATTAACTTAACTGTGTTATTAACTTAACAACTTCAGCGATTCAGTTAACATCTGTGGCAAGAATGGTCATGAAATGGGACACGATTCACTTAATAACTGTCTTGTTTAGCAACAGAAATTTTGGGCTCAATTGTGTGGTTGTGAGTTGAGGACTACCTGTACATAATTCTGAAACAAATTACATATTTATACTTGAAGGTGCTAATGTTGGTCCTCCAGGAGGATATTCAGTGTGTCCATCTAGCAGTCCTTTATAATGCAGAGGGAAACAGCTCTGATTGTCTTGGAGAAGGTGTCATGTCTTCATTGGAGCCTGAATTTGTGGAGGAAAATGAGCTGGAACAGGACCCTATGGAGGTCGAGGGAGAGGTGTCTGTGGTTTCAGAGGAATGTGGGGAAGAGCAGGCCAAGGCAGGCCAGGGCCCTTCAGGATTGGGACAGGATGAACAGGAGAGACAGAGTTTAGGTGATGAGCAAGGGCCACCCCCACCTGATCCTAGAGCATGAAGAGTGGAGAGGAGGAGGGGAAAATGCAGGCAGCCTCAATTACTCAGGAGGAGAGCGTCCAGCCCCTCTGCACAAGGCACATCTGGAGACTGAGATTTAAGGAGACGCTATGGGGAGGCATTTGTTGGGAACAAACACTGATTCTTTGGAGTTTTGTGTTGTTGCTGATCTCTTGTTCTTTGACTTCTGCTTGGAAACCCGTAAACTCTGACCATTGGACTGGCTGACAACATTGCTTGAATGTTCAAAGATCTCAGACTGTATTTTGGCTTCCCTTTTGAAACTGCTCAGGCAAGCGTGTATTCACACAAACTCCATAGGTTTATGATGTATGTGTCATTCCTTGTTATCTCCGTGGCCTTGAGTAAATTCCTCTCCTAATCAGACTGTATGTGAAACTACTTGCAGCCAGAGGCGGCTAAAGGTGTGTGTGTCTTCCTTTGTTTGGAGGTTTGCCAGAAACGTGGGAGCATTTAGGGAAAATTTGGAGCAATTAAAGGGTGGTTTGAATTGCCAGCTGAGTGCATTGCCTCTGTGCTCTGCCCTGGGTCATCACAGAAGGCTTAAGGAAGACTACAAGCCATGCAGACTCCCACTGACCAAGGGAAGAGTCCAGAGCCAATTAGGGCTGGTCTGTGAAGTATCACCATTAGACTGCATGGCTTGTAGTCTTCCCCAAGCCTTCTCCATTGCTGCAGATCCCATTTTTCAATATATACTGTATGGTATTTGTGGAAGAAAGTAGACAAAGACAAAGCCCAAATCTGATCCCTGAAAGAGCCAGGTGACATTAAAGGAAGTTTTGCATGGGAGAACCAGTGTGAAGAAGATCTAAAAAAGGTTCTCCAAGGCTTAACCTCCTATCAGGGGTTATGAAGGGAACTTAGCCATGGCCTGCCAGCAGTCCATCCCAGGACACTTTCCCCTGTTCTTGACCATGTCTGCCAAGAGCTGTGGCCCTGGGATTTGGAGAGGGGAAGCAGAAGCAAAAAGACTTTGGGAAAAGGACTCTGAACCTCTTGTCAGGGAATGGAGTTGGCATTGAAGCAAGAAGCCCTGCCAGAGGGAAAACGAATCAACCATAAGGCTGGGGAGGGCTAGTTTGTTGTTGTTGTTGTTGTTATTGTTATTAAATGACCAGGCTAGAAACTGGAAGACTGTGAGTTTTAATTGTGCCTTAGGGTTGAAGCCAGCTGGGTGATCTTGGACCAGTCCTTTTCCCTCAGCCCTAGGAAGGAGGCAATGGCAAACCAATTCTGAAAAACCTTGCCAAGAAAACTATAGGGACTGGCCCAGGTGGTCACAGGAGTCAAAAAACTGTCTTAAACACGCCAAAAAGAGAGAGAAAAATGCCACATAGCTACTGCCATGTTTACAGCAGTTACAAACTCCTGCTTTTTTGAAAGTTCAAGGGCAATGTTGTCTTTGTTCCTGTTTCCAATAAAGGAGAGAGTCAGGAATAAACTGAACCCCATTAATTGAAACAGGAAAGGTTTGAGATCAGTTGGGTCCAGAACTGATGTCAAAGTGTTGGAAAATACTTGCCTGGAAGTTCTTGGAGATAGACCTGATTAATAGACAAATCCTTGCACTTTCTCTTTACAAACCAGAATGTTCCATTGCTTTCTTTCTCCTGGGCTCATCTTTACTTTTCTTCTTCTTCCTCTTCTCTTTAAGGCTATTAACACATTGAAGAACAGAATGTTAATGCTTGATGGGATGCCTGCAGTCAGAGTCAAAACGGAGCTGCTGGAATCAGAACAAGGGGTGAGTGTCAGTCTTCCGTTCTTCTCCATCCCGCTCAGATATTCCTGCTTGCTTAATCCCTGGGGAAGTACCCCTAGGCTTCCCTTTCCAGTAGGTTGGATGATCTTGACACAAATGGGTGCAATTCTCCATCCAGTTTCTTCTCACCTTCGGTGTCACCTGGTAGAGTGAATGTACTCTTGCTCTGAAATTGTCATCTACAAGCTTGTGGGAGACAGTAGAGGGAGTCCAGGAAATTGTTTTGAGAGAAGGAACAAGGCATGGCCATACTTTCATGCAGTGATGCAGCCACTCGGACAATTTCTTAGTATTTGTTGGTGAAGAAAGTAAAAAGTGGGGAGAATCATTTTGTTTTCTTCAACCACTGGAATAATCCTAGTAGTACATGTTTCCTTGCAACCGTGGAAGTAAAGCTACCTAGTTGGTTAAAAAAAAAATCAGAGGAAGAAGCATTCTTTGAGTGATGTTGGAACTAGTAGAACCTTTCCTGAAGCTCTAACCTTGCCTGGAGAGATTATGAAAGTGAAATAAGAGCAGAGTCAACCCTGCAGTGGTGGTGTAAGAGATCTTGTGGCCAGAAAGAGAATCCAGATTTCCTGATCCCTACTTTGCCCTGAACATCTTCCTTCCCCTGTCCTGACCACTTTCTACAGGGGGACGATCGAGATCGTCATATGGCATCACAGTCTGGTTTGGAAGCATCACTGCTTCAGACAGGAAGGTGGTGCAGAGAGTGGTGAGAACGGCCGAAAAGATCATTGGCTGATCCCTCCCTCCTATCCAGGACTTAGCACAGAAGTGTTGCTTGAGCAAGGTCCATAAGATTATCTGGGACACTACACATCCTCTTCACAACCTGTTTTCCTTGTTACCTTCTGGGAGGAGGGGGCTCTGTGGTATCCATAGCAGAACATCCAGATTCAGCCAGAGTTTCATTCCATACAGCATTAACCTTGTGAACTCTCAAGCTTCCTCCTTCCGTTATATATTCAGGTTGGACAGTATTTAATATTTATTTGCTATGTATATGTAGGAGTGTGGATCTATACATATGTTGTACATAGTATGTTTTAGGTGTGTGTCATGTATGTGTTTCACTTTGAGAGCGGGCAACTAAATTTCATTTTTGATGTGTGCCGTTGTGCCCACAGTATAAAAAAAAATGACAATAAAGGTTATCTTATCTTATCTAACAGGTTAACCCTTCAAAATGTTTTCTTCACTATGGAGATTCTCAGTCATGGTTGTCCCAAAGGTGCTTTTCAAAAGGCAACTGGACCTTCAAAAGGCAGCTGGACCTTCTGAACTGAAGAAGCTTCTTGGATGAGAACTGAAACATCTACAAGGAAGAAAGCCAAGACAGTCCAGTTGCCTTTTGAAAAAGCACCTTTGGAAAGTTTTCCTCACAAATGACTTTGTGCCATTTTCTCCTTATCGTCACTCCTCATGGTGATTTCTAAAGGCAACGCCTTGTCCAATAGCTTATTCTACCTCCTTTATCTGCCATTAGTGCTCCGTTATATCAAAGGAGAGTTAACCAAAGTGAATGAAAAATTGCAGGAGGGAATTGGTTTTTCTGGCAAGGCTTTTTCTGGAGCAGAAGGCCAAGCAGTGAGAAGTCCCCAAAGTGCTTTCTTTCCAAAAGGCAACTGGAGTTTCTTGTTTTTCTTGAAGACGTTTTGCTTCTCATCCAAGAAGCCTCTTCAGTTCTGACAGGATGGTGGAGAATGGAAGGATTTATATTCCTCGCTGTCATTGGGTCATTACCACTATAAATGTATAAAGAATATAAATCCTTCCATGTGAGAAGCGAAACATCTTCAAGCAAAACTAGAAAGTCCAGTTGCCTTTTGAAAGAAAACGCCTTTGAGGCAACCATGACCTGGATGACGGAGAATCTTCATAGGCAAGCAGTGAGAAGCTTAAAGAAGAACAGACCATGAATGGGTTTATGAATGTAGTGAAAGCAACGATAGTCTGCAAGGACAGAAAATTATGGAGAGAGAGAGTGGAGGATCTTGATGTAAACTAGATTTAGCTATCTCTTTTTCTTTCCTCCTGTATGTTCTTTGGGTCTTCATTTTTGGGCCATTTCTTTCACTCTCTTTCCACAATTTGTCTAATGTTTCTGGTCCCCAAAGGGAGTAAGATACTGTAGTGGGTATAAATGTGGAGTATTCCTTCATTCTTCCTCTCCTCTGTGCTCCATGAAAGAAAGCTTCAGAGATCATCAAGTCTGCACATTCCCTGACCAGTCTTTTTAGCTAGAGGCTGGGATCCTTATCCCATATCATTGCTGTCTTGGAGTCTGAAGTCCAGCTCCTTCAAGGCTACTTGGCTGGCTGTAAGAAAAGAAAGCAAAAAATCAGAATTTCTGGTGGCATTAAAAAAACAAACAAACTTGGCATGTTTCTTATTAAAAACATGCCTTGCCTGCCATGCGTGCCTTTCCATCATTGTGGAATTATCTAAAAGTCACCATGTGATCCTACTTTTGTAGGAAAGAGCAACGAATGATAATGTTGCAGTCTTCTGGCAATTTCCCACTCCCCCTCCCCCCCCCCAAAAAAAGTCAGAAGAGCTGGATTTTCTGTCCACAAGCTCCTGGAATGAAGTGAGGCAACACAGCCATGAAATACCTTCCTTCACCATTAATAACTCCTGATCTTCTTCTCCTGGGCGTCTTATATAGCTTTCCACAGTTCTGCAGCAATGGTCCTGGAGAGGTATGGGGTGGACATGGTTCTTTTGCGCTCTACAGAAAGCTGGTCGAGTGTAGATAATAAATTACCTCCTGTGGCCAATAAAAGTGCTAAACAATCTTGTTTGTACTGTTTATTTTTATTTTGGGTTCTTTTTCTTAGGTTTTTAAGTGCTGCAATTTCACTTTACTGTTCTTTTGAGGTCCATATATAAACTTACTTCAATTCCCTCTCATTCCTTCTAGGAAAAAGGGAAGATGCATCTCCCTTTTATAACCTTACTGAGGTTTCTTGTTACGTAGCTCGCATAAATTATCTTCCTGGACTTTGTCTTTAGTTTCATACTGGGAGGGGGAAGTAAGGAGATGATTTTGGGTGGGGGTGGGGTGGGGGGGATTTCCCTTGGTGCCTCATTACAGCCATGGAAGGCTGTTTACTCCAAATCTTGGAGCAAAAGAAGGATAAGACCTGTGAGGATCAATGGACAATTTGGGTTGTTATATCACAGAGCAACCTTGAGTCTGAATTTCTCGGGCATATGTGAGGTCATGAGGCACCTAAAACATCTCTTAATGTTAGAAAGGCATCCCATTTGGGTCATGGTGGAGATCTCAAGGCTTCTGAGAAGAACCTGTTAAGATAGCCTAGGCAGGTATCTGCCCTGGGCTGGGAATGGTCCTAGTCGAGGGGTCCTTGGTACTCTCTGAGCTTGCTTGCTTGTTTTCTTACAGACATTCCATTACCCAAACTAGGTAATATCATCAGGACGAGCACTTATGATGTTACCTAGTTTGGGTAATGAAATGTTTCAGCAAGCTGAGAGAGAATCAAGGACCTGTCATGTCAACCCTGAGCTACAAATATTCTCCTTTATTAGGTCCTAGTTAAAGTTGGCTGATTTCAACAAAACTAAGATGCTTTGTATGTGAATGAGAGATTAGCAACAATTACTAACAGTGTAGAGTATATTAGCATTAGATCCTCCCATGCTATGTAGCATATTGGGCTGCAAAGGATCTCCAGCATTTTTGGTCTTGGATGAGTACTTGAGACTCTAAATATCAACCGTGTTATGTTTAGAGCCTTTAAGTCTTCCATGAATGTTCTTCACCAAGTATTTTGAGGGTGTCCTCTTGGTTGTTTGGCATCAAGTGGGGCCCATCTCATTGCCATCTTGAGGATTCGATTGTTCTCCATGCGGAGAATATGACTTGCAAGTTGGAGTCTTTCTGTGTGACAATGTTATGTATTTTGAAGGGGTTTTTTTAAAAAAAAATTTCCTATTCTACGTTGATCCTGTAAACAGCAGTGTAGAGTAGGAAGTAAAAACACCACCACCACCAGAAAAAAGGTAGCAGTGATATTTCCATACTGCAGCCAAGGAAAATCTTCCCTGCTCATCAAGGTTGGAGTCGATCTGAGAGTGTCTTGGCCTTTAAGCCCATGTGCAAGTAGTGCTAGACTTCACTACTGACATAGTTCTGAAACATCTAGAACCCAGCAGAAACGGATTCTCAACAGGGCTCCATTTGGGAAGCCCTTGGTCCAATCCAGGAATCAGGAATTCGTATGAGAATTCAGTGTCTTCTTTACAGTCTCAATAATTAAATGTCTCACTATTAATTTTTTTAAAAGCTTTCTTTGCAGATAATATAAAATGTTTGTATCTGTCTCTGACATCCTTGTGGGAGCACCAACAAATCGTGAATGTTCTCTATGAAAATTGTTTTACTTGTGGGTCTGAAATATTTTGTTTTGGCCATAATTCCCTCCCCTCCCCTTTTTTTTAAAAGCATGCCTGTTCTCTTTTTGAAATTCCAACCATCAATAAAGTAATGAAAGATGCTGAAAGCTGAATAATGATTCAGTACAATGAAATCCAAACAAACTTTGCAGAGCGGTATAAATAACTCTCAGCCTCACTTGACTGATGGGGTGATAATAGCTTTGCTTCTGAGGCAGCTCCTGTGCCTTGATATTAATGGTGACTACTGACAATAGGAGTCCAAACTGACCTGGAAGGTGGAACGAACAAATATTTCCAACTGGAAGTTACTAGTAGGGGATGAATATGTTTTGGAGCTGCTTTCGCTTGAGGTACGTCACTTCAAGATAGTTCCTTTAGATCAGGGGTCTTCAAACTTGGCCGCTTTATGAGTTGTGGACTTCAACTCCCAGAATTCCTCAGCCAGGCAGGCTGGCTGAGGAATTCTGGGAGTTGAAGTCCACAAGTCATAAAAGGGCCAAGTTTGAAGACCCCTGCTTTAGATCAATGGTCCCCAACCTTTGTAGCTTTGC